TAATAATTCTCATTTATTTATTTTCAATTATTTTTGCTTTCTATCGAAAATTTATTTTTAAAAAATTTACGTAAATAAAATGTAATTTTTATGTATTTACATCTCAAACCTAAATTTTGATTTAACACCAACTAATTTTAGAGTCAGCTCAAAATGAAGAAATTGTAATATTGCAAAAAATCTAAAAATACAAATAATTTATATGAAACTTCTATAATGTATCTCAACCCTCTATTTACGATCGGACGATTATAACTCGACTCAATTCAATTCAATCTCTACCATCCAATTTATATTGAATGGTTGTGATGAGATAACTAAGAACACGTGCAAAATTATCCGCCCAAATATAAAAAGAATCCGACCCGATTGACCCGATCGACACGAATAAATAGAAGTTCACTTAACATACCTCCAAAGTGGATCCATCCTTCAAGCCTTGAACGGTGGGATGGAACTCCACAATATAATCACAAACACAAAGAAGACATTCCATCTCTCTCCTCCACATTGCCTTCTTCCCCTCTCCCAATGGCTCCAACCTCCCAAATTGCCCAAAAACAGTAGCTTCCAATATGCAAATAAATAAATAAATAAATAATCATAATAATAATAATATTTGCATATCTACCCATAAATCAAAATGAAAACAAAGATCTACATACATAAATTATGATATATTTACAAAAATATAAAAATTATGAATTACCATAGAGATTAGTAATAGCATTTGAGATCGCCACAGCACTACAAACCCCCTTTCCGCTCCCAGACATATCTTCTCCAAGCAGCAGCTTTGCGAATCTCTCCTTCATCAGCTCAGCCACTCCTCCTCCTCCTCCTTCTTCTTCTCCGGCGAGCAACTCGGCATGCTGCTTCATCCCCACCTTGGCCAACACAGGCTTCGCTCGAACCCTCAGCTTCTCCGCCGGCCACGCCATCGCCGACAGCTCGCCGGAGCTGCTCTGCTCTGAAAAACAGGACATTTCAGAAATGGTGCGGCAGTAGTCGATGGACCCGCTGCAGCCACCTCCGGCGAAGTCCAGCGAGCTCCCGTCGAAGGCCGAAGGGCTGTGCATTCTCGGTTTGGGAGATTCAAATTGTTCGGAACAGGGCCTGTTCTGCAAATTTGAATTGCTTGCTCGGTTGCTTTATCCTTTTTGCTTTTTTGCAGAAGTAACCTTTTGGGGATGATTTGAAGGGATTTCCCTCCGCTGCTGTAACTCTGTTTTATTATGTAATAGAGCTTTAGAGTTTTGTATTGGTGATAGGGCTGAGTTGATTAAAGGGG